CCCCCCCCCCACAAAATAAGTAAGAACCTGTCATTTTCTTTCTTATCTTGACACATCACAGTTTTTTCTAAAACCCCCTACAGCCCCCCTCTCGTAATTTTTCGTAACCCCACCGCTCACTCCTCACCACCCCCACATACTTTTGTGTTCGTGTCGTATACATATTAGTCTTTTATTTTTAATCTGCTTCATTACTAAATTACTTCAAGACAAAACTTTCTTATCGCTATGTTTTATCTCATCGTCCAGAAAAAATTTAAAATTATAACTGATTTATAGGGGTCGTTGCGTGAAGCGTAAATTACGTTAAGTTTGTCATTAATACAAACCGTGGAAGTTTCACACTAAGATCACATTATTTTGTGAGTCAACTTATAAAGCCCTATTAAACCACGAAGACTTAGGTCTATTCCTACTATATTTTAAATTAATGTTAAAATTGGTACAATAGATGAACACAATATACATTCATGAAATGTATTATTAGGTTATAAATTTTGTCTATACATAAAAGAATATTCAAATCATGTTGTTATTATAAGAAACATTTTTTCTCCCGTACCTATTCCGCCTTCTACGTTAAACTTTAACAATTTGGTATCTTGTACCGTTACATAAGCAGTCTGATATACTAAAGTTTCGAATTAACATTACTATTGTACCTATTTTTAATTTGAGTTCATGATGTGGTAAGCCTTCACGAATATTGTTTAACATTTTCACGGAATACTTTGTATAAATATTATCATCTGATTTATCAACTCCTTTACAGGTTGCATTATCAATGCTGTATGCTGCTGCATGTTGATCCTATGATATTTCCCTTATTACTTACAGTAGAACGTGTAGGATGGAGTACATAAGGTAGACAAAAATTTTTAACGAAAGCAGAAAATCTTACGTTACTTTCATATTACTTATATCGAACTTCCTATCTACTAAATAGTAAACTTTTTAGTTCTATACTGTATGCTAGAAGATGTACACAAGAATTTTTTTTGCATGCATATACTATGAAAGCAATAAAATAGCATTATCAAGATGCAATAGTAATAATGCGAATGTTTGGACGACCTGATTTTTTTATTTCTGTTGCATGTAACCCTAAATGGTTAGAAATAAAAATAATTTTGAAAAACTTTCCTGAAGGAATCACTCCAAATGATATACCAAATGTAACTGTTAGATTGTTTTATACAAAATCAAAATCAATTTGAGACGATATAACTAAATAAAATATTTTCGGAAAACTTATTGCTTATGTTTATACCATTGAATTTCAAAAAAGAGAATTACCTCATTCTCATATTATTGTAACATTGCACATAAAAAATTAATTATTTACTACGATAGACATCGATAAATATATTGCAGCGGAAATTCCACTTGATTCACAAACACAAAAATTAGTTATTGAACACATGCTTCATGAACCTTATGGTATAGATAGTCCATGTCTTACCAGTCATTAAAAAAATTTGTACAAAAAAGTTTCGAAAAAAGTTGACTAATGATACTATATTTACAAAAATGGATACTCAAATTACGAAAGAAGTGACAATAGATGTGATCATCTCATATGTATATAGTAAAAAATAGTAATATTGAATTTTTTCCAGCAAAAACAAACAAAATCGCATTATTGAAGTTGGATACGGAAATCCTAGGATCTAACTAATTAAACGCATACACACATGCAAACAAATACATGCACGCACATACAAATAGATACTGTTACAGGAATTTGATTCTATAAATTTAAAAAACAAGTTCAAATCGTGTTCCTTGAGGAGATCTTTGTCTCTTTTTTGTAAAGTTTCTGGTACGAAAAGCAATAGGATATTTGGATACATAATGTGAAGCTCCTACAGTAAGTAAGGCATGAGTTAAAAAATTTTTGCATTGAATAATCAATGCTTTTGCAGGAAGTATAAACAACTTTTTTTCTTCACCTTAGTTTCTTAATCTCTTTACGTGTGTGCAACAAAAAAGAACACAAAATGCATGATATATGTTTCTATAGGTGCATCCTTATTACACCCACCTTGTTTTCTATTATAGAGAAAGCATGATTTCATAAGCTTTACTATTACAAAAAATTGTCGAGTGTATTTATAGTTGACTGCTAGGCATGAGAAAAAATTTTGTTAATCAAACTCTTTTCTGCTACTGATTGAAACGTTTTATATTTCGTTGAATATTCAGTATTTTATTCTTACGAACTCAATAATTCCTTACATAGTTTTAGATAGTATAATCAAACGTAAAATGTACTGTACTTTTGTAAAGTACAGACTAATTTTACTCGTTTGAATTTGTTTTCGAAAAATAAAAAAGGAATTTAAGGGACATATAATTACTATTGGCAATGAAATTTGCTACCTCTCACTGTAATAATTTGTGATTGTTGCACTGTTCCGTAATCGTTCTTAGCATGGCATGAATAATTACCAGCATCTTTTTCAAAAAAATATCTTATAATTAATTTTTGATTGCTGTCTTCGAAAGTATACTGTGATGAACTCTTCAGAGGTTCATTGTTTTTCGACCACGTAATATTAGGGGTGGGAATCCCTCCAACATGGCATAACAAAGTCAGGGGATTCTCAAAATCCCTTGCCATCACTGTTCTCTCTGTTGCGTTCAAATTTACAAGGGTAAAAGAAGGTGGATCTATACAACAAAATGACCATTAATGGAGTAAAAATAGTTGAGATTTATAAATGATAATGTACATCATAACTGTTTCTCATTCTTACTATTGATGTTAAGGAAGAATGATTCTGTAAGTATTTTGGGCGAAGGATAACCAACAAATCCGTAGTATCTTTTCGTCCCTTTGCAATAGTACTTCCTTCTATCTGATTCACTCACGTTATTGATCGTGAGAATGGCTTGGTAAGTAAATTCAGTTACCTTCGATGTAACGTGTATTCTTTCTATGTGTATTAGAAAACATGTATAATTGGTCAAACTATACTGAAAAACTTGACTCATTACACTTAAAAAACAAATTTAGAACTAACCGGAACTTATGACCACGTGTTCATTATCGTCATACCACAGGACCTCGGAAAATTTCTTAATTACAGCAGCACATGTTAAAGAAATATTGTCACCTTTCTGAAAACTTCTATTTGGTTGTATGATTCCAAAAGATGCATTAGCTACCCCATCTAAAGAAAAAAAAATTATCTATACAATAGTAACTCACGAAAAAAAGTAAAAGATGGATAAAAATCCAAGTTGAACAATGGATATTATTTAGATCTATGTACCAGTTAAGCGAATTTTTTTTGACGCAGTTGCACATCCATAGCTATTGCAAGCCTTGCATTCTATTACACCGGATGTTACTAGCTGTTTCAGTTCTACCGTTGACTTTTGTTTGAAATTGCTATTTTGCACATCTGTTTCTATTCCCTGGAAAAATTAATTAACGTTCAGAAAATTTTATTTCTACTATTACATTTAAACAATGGTCCGAACCTTCGAATGCAGATGAACAAACTATTTTTTATAGTAACCAACTTACCTGTAAGTTATGTAGTTTATTGTAAATTAACGTTTTCGTTACGATCCAAGATATATTTGACTTAGGATAACGATTGGCAAGGCAAACAAATTTGGCAGTTTTATTAAAACTGTAGTAAGATTGAAGGTAAGTTTTGTCAAACCTCACCGTTGGCTTACCTGTAAGAAAAAAAAATCAAATGCTTGACATGAAGTTCCAGAACATAAAAACGACGTACACAATTTAGAATTTCATGATAATGAAAAAAAAAAACAAAAAAAAAATTTGTCAAATTTTAAGTTTCTTACTTTACTGAATAAAAACTTACTTTATGTATAAGCTTTGCGATTTTTAAATAGAATCAGTAATTAACAGGAAAGAGTTGGAAACTTTAAATGTCATTTTTCCATTTTTAAAGAGTTTCGTAGTCATAATTTTTACAAAATTAAAACTATACTATCTAAATTGGTAGATCGAAAGTACTAATTTTTAGCCCAAGCAAGTATACATTGACTAACATTCATTTCATGTAAAATATCGAAGCTATACTAAGAATTATTATTATTTCATTTATTAAAAAAATATGCAATTGCAGTCCATTATGCTTCTGAATGTCTTATGGATTATTTTTTGACGAATGAGCTACTCAGTTTTAGACAAATAGGATTGCTAGGTCTTATTTGTCTCCTTCTGTAACTGATGTATAAAAAGCTAATCTGAACCTTAATTAACTTCTAATTTGGAACATTAATGAATTATAAGTGTAGACAGTGGAAACTTTCTTGACATAAAAGTATACACATAAGTTTGATACACAATTTTTATCATAGTTTTGTAGTTGCATGTATTAAAAATATATTTGTAAATTCATGCATCTATATATTAAGTGTAAAAGTAGAAGCAACATTTGTGACTGATACAGTCTACGATGCACATTTATTTGCGTCATAATAACTTTTTCCAAAGCCTACTAAACTATAATTAGAAAGTGCCTATTTTTTTAAAAATTGTAAAAGTACGTAAGAAATGTTTTCTTGTTACTTATGTCAGTAATTAAATATCATCATGTATAGGTGAAGAACATAACCTAGTGACAGGTCTTAATAGAAGGCGATGTTTTTTTCCTTGTAATCGGAGCACACATAAAATAGAAATTTAACACTTGCAACTTAAAACTAGTACGAGATCATTAATGCTCAGGAGCAGCAAGTGTAAAGTTCAAATAACAATTTTACCACTGCCTACAGACTACTTCCAGTTTTGATAACATTGAACTAAAAACACTCAAAACAAAACTGTATGATTAATTTGTAAAAAATAATTCACTCCCTGATATTTTTTAATATTCTGTCTCGTTCCGTTCAAAATATGTATGTTACGAAAGTATCTAACATTTTTTATGTACCATAAACTTCAAGATAAAATTTCAACTCCTTTACTATTTTATCATGTTTAGCTCTAAGCGTAAAAGTTCCCGTGGCATATTTATCGATGTTTAATAGAGTCAATTGGCTCATCGTTCCGTAATCGGACATTCTTACGTCCGAATCGTAGGGGCGAATTATATAACCTTGAGGGTGAGTCCTGAAATGGAAAATAATGTTTAATAGTACTAAAAAGAAATAAATAAATTTATGTACACTAAAGCACTACTAAGGATTAAACATATTACCACTCCAAAGTTGGTATTGGACATGCATCAACAAAAGCCAAAAAAGTCACTGATTTACCATCCTCTGANNNNTAAATTAAAAAAAAAATGAAGGTGAAGAAAAGATAATAATAATGATAACAATAATAATAAGAAAAAAAAAATTATCAATCACTCACCAAACACGCAAACGTGAGTATCAAGACTCTTATCTTCATAAAACGAAGATCTTATTTTACAAGCGTAGTAACCTTTATCATCGAGAGCAACATTTTCAATAATAAGCTCAGACGTTACGAGATCGACTAAATTATGAATTCCTTTTTCTTCTACTCGAACGGTATTTGAAACTTTTCTAGAAGTCTTATAATCACACGTTTTTTATTAACTGAACATCACATTAAAAATATCTAACGAATTATATTTTAAGACATAAAACAAAAACTGCATATTAAATTCTAGCTGTGCTTAATTTACCATGTTGTGTGGAATCTCCCAGGAGATAGTGTAAAAGGATTCTCTCCTTATTTCAGCTGTGCATGAAAGATTCAATCTCGAACCTGTTGATACAGCTTTTTCACCGTCTATTCTTAAGATACTCATACATGGAAAGAAGGTAGTAGTCTGAGCTTTTATTTTTATTGCATGTGAAAAGTTCTTATTTTCAACAGTACAAGTATATATACTGCCCATACCCCAATTTGCTTCTTTAATGACAAAACCAGTTTTGGAGTCGAAAGTGATCTTTTCGCTCAGTCCGTAGACCTTAAAAAATCAAAATATTGAAAAAATTGCGTCGTTTTCAGTATAAGTTTTTATCATGCATGAAGTATGTTTTACATGTCCATTTCTTCGAAGAGTCACTTTCAATTTAGGGGATGTCGTTTCACATGGTAAGATAAGGTGTTGAAAACATCCCGAAGGGAGTAAATAATAATTATCATCCTTATTTGCACGTACGAATGAACTTTTATTGGCTGCACATGAAAATTAACCATTTTTCAATGAGCGTTATATTTAGTATTATTTGCGTTTTTAAATGAAATTTAGTTTACAAAACAAAAAAAATCTAAAATGCGCAATACTCTTACATTTCACATAAACGTACACCCAACTAATACTTAAGTCACTGTAGTTTTTGTACGTCAAACTTGTTATTTGTTTGCTTTCATCAGCACAACCATACCAGCCAGTATCTCCAAAAACGGTTGATAATCTTATGAATGTCTTGTGGGTACTCCTGACTTTTGGTGTTATAAGAGGCTGAGAGGTGGTCTTTTTTTTTAAATGCAAAAATTAGTGGTTTTTATTTCTTTGAAGTATTTTTTTTCTACAACTCATCAAACACGAAATGGTAGAATCATTCAACTTACCCTCCCCCTTTCATCACTTGTAGGGAAATGAAAATTAACAAAGCTATTGCTTGTGCACGTAATGTTTAGGGTTCCTCCTTCATTTATTTCTAACTCAGTCACATTTGGATACAGTTGAGGCTTAAGTCCATGGCAGCCTAAAAATTTTGAATTAATATCCATAATTAAAAAGTAAAAAATCATGTTTTGATTGGCCTCTATGAGAAAACTCACATACTATTTAGTAAAACATGAAAATTATAATAGACAATCAGTCCTAAATTAAAGGAGAAGGAGGTTAATAGGTATGTTTGTAGCACTAAGCCTCCTAAAATAGTAAAATTAATTTTTATCATGCAAACTAAGCTTTTAGCGGTACTGCCTTACCTGAGAGTTTTATTTGTTAATAGAACAGTAAGAGTAACTTTTTATTCATCGGCTATTTAAAGTATGGGAATATATTCTCAACCTTTTAATAACTTTAATGTAAGAAGTTCAATGTAATCTACACTTTTAAGTGTGTAAGTAAACTAAGTACTATTCTAACAAAATCTTATTATTTAGTATAATAACTGTTGAAATAATTAATAATGAAATATTAAATATGAAATACTCTATAACAGTCTTTTTTTAATCTCATGATGAGAAATGTTTCGTTTGAGTACAAATATTGTGTACATGCTTTCTTCGATTATTTAAAATAATATTGCTTACGAATGATACACATTTCCAACTTCAAATGGAAATTTTAATTGTGAAATAGAGTTATTAATAGAATGAAGTGCATCATTTGACTAATCTTAAGAACAAAAAATATACAACAGTTAAGGTATCTGAGATTAAATCTTAAATAAAGGGTCCTTAATTTTACTTATAAGAGAACTTGTTGAAAACAAAATGTGAAAAAACTGTACAAAAATACTTGTATATTATAAACCTCTTAAATTAATGTTCTTACTCTCTTATTGGTATAAAAACTTTGTGTTAGTAACAGTTATTAACAAGATATATACTATTGGCACAACGTAACAAAATTTTTGATCATCCAAATTTTGTCATGTGATTTTCTAAATACAGTCTAATGAAAAAAAACTATTAATTGGCAGACTCTGTTAATTAGTTAACGTTATCAAGATAATCAGTAAACTTTATAATTTTTGTATGTTGATGAATACTTAGGAGTGATCAACTACATCACAATTTTATAATAATTTTCAAACGAAGTAAAATCTTCAATTAAAATATTTAATTCAGAAGTACATCAGGCCAGTTACTCGTTCTTAAATAAGTTTTATTACATGGCACTATAATGATTTTTTTTATACGTAAGTTTTAAAACATTCTGCACAATTAGTAGATGAGACTTTACAACAGCACAACAAACCAATAATAAAGATAATCGTTTAGTGTGTTTCAACAAAATTTTTCAAATAAATTTAACAAAATTTCTTAAATAAATTTTGTCATAGTCTTGAGTCAAAATTATCATGTTCTGTTTTATATTGTCTTTATTTTGTCTCATAATTCAAAGAAAAAGAATTCAAGTTACTCTTACATAGTATTAGAGATAGAAAATAATGGTAATAAGTATTAATAAACAAGACGATATAAATATAACTCTTGACTCTTCTAAGGCCCTAGTAATACAGTAGTAAAATTGTAACTTTTTATTAAATGTTAAAACGTATAATTCAAAGTAAATAACATTCAAGATAAACATTGCTGAGACTAATTTATAAAATTCATGATCTCCTAAATTTTTTTACATAATTTTTGAAATACGCTTATTATTGATGTGCTTGAATTTATTTAGAAGGATTAAAAGACAACTCTTTGTACGTACCGTTGGTTAGCTAATCTAATAAAGATGAGCTGTAAATCAAATGACAATCCTTTGTCGATAACTGCTTGAGTATGAGTAACTACAGCATGATTTCATGATTATCTTCGAACGGAAGAATGTACTTGATTACAATATTTAATCGAACAGTACATCTTCTAAATTACTAATATTTAAAAAGGTTATTTATATTTCATTACAAAAGATTTTTCGAATCATATTACAAATTTGAAAAAAGTCTACATAGCTACTAATAAGATTGTATTGAATTGCACTTAATTTAGATTTAAAAGTTAATGAAGAAGTTAGGCTTTCCATTAACCACAGATCCCTTTAGTTATAATTTTAGCTCTGTTTGAATATGGGTGACTAATCAAAATTATCTGATGGTTTAAACAATTTAGGTATCTTCGTAAATTTTTTATACGCTATACTTAGTTGCATAATTTTGTACCTACGTTCGTACGTTGCCCTCGGGCCACACTTTACGCCTTTGTAACCACTTTGGACCTAACGGCAAAAAGTTTTTTGCACCCTCGTGGCCCAAGCACTTCTCTGACTAGGGTCCAAAACGTGCCCACGGGCGCAAAATGGCACTTTGCACCCTCGATGAGAAAAACAAAATGTACGATTTGGGCACAAACATACAATAACCACACCCTTCGAGTGCTCATTTGTTTGTAATTTATGCCCTAGTGACGTAATGTACCATTAAGTTTCTACAAAAACTATAATCAAGAAAATTTACTGCGCATAGCTTTACCTACAACTTAACTTGGCAATACTCGCTAAAGCTTCTTTACGTGTAAATTAATGCTTATTTTTTGGTTTTCGACCTCATCATTAATTTGTAAGTGGAAACAACCTTTGGAACTTTGGCATTTGAGCATACGTTGGCATTTGAGCATACGTATTATTGTTTTTAGTATAAATTTTTTGCATTTCTGAATAGGCCAAATAAAACAAAGAACCGTGGCACCCGTAGAGTCTAAGCTCTTTTTTTTTGTATTTCAGCACTACCTCGTCAATTAGTTAAATTAATCTATCTCTAAAACTATGGTGCGAGAAGAATAAATATTAGAATGAGACCAAAAATCTTAGATGGGGCACTTGTAGATACCCTTCTTTTTACAGTTATTATCAATAATCTTAATTTATGTTTTCAAATTGTGCTGTTCATACAACTAGAGCGTTAGTTATAAATTAAAAGTGTGTGTTTTAATGAATACATACCTGAAAGAGCAATAAGAAAACACAGTAGCTTTGACCACTGAAGAAAAGTCGGCAGATCCTTCCAACCTCGAGTGGTTGACATCATTAACTGTAGATATGTTCAAGTACTCGCAATTAAAGTAAATAATTGAGGCTAAAAGAATGTAGACATTAGCTCAATTATGTTTTAAAGTAAATCGATGCAAGTAATATCTGAAAAATACACGACAAGTAGACATACCGCTTTTTAAAGTAGAGCCTTTGTACCTCACTGCAGTGGTCAAACGTAAAATGGGAAAGCCTTACGCTTATTTTACAGAGATAAGAGGTGACTTCGTCTTGTCACCTGCTACGCACAGGTGTATGCTTATGATTTGTTAAACAGCAATCAAGCTGATTCCCACTTTTAATCACCTGTCTTTGTCCTAATTTAAAACTTTTTTTGCAGCCACCCCCCTCCCTCCGCCGTCTGTTACTAAGCTGCACCTTTTCGTAACTTGGAATTTAAATAATTGTCTATCTATACGTGATGGCATCAGTAATGATTTTTGAGTACTTTTGTTTAAATTTTAAATTACCTAACCAATATAATAAAAAAATTAAAGAATTTTGCAGATGATAAATCTTTTCCTAATATTTGAAATTAACAATGTTCAGGGTTAAGATTTAACAACCACAGATTAGCAGAATTTAAAAAAATTTGAATACTTTTAACTACTTTATTTAAATTCTAATTAAAATTATTTAATCGATTGATACCTTTATCTGTGAAAAAGTGTGTGCCAGTGTGTCGTTGTATAGTTAATCACGAAAATTGGATCTGCATTTTTGCGGATTATTTTTACAACCACTTTTTTATTGATCTTTATAACAACAATTCCATGAGCTTCTACCTTAAAGACAATTCCAAAAGTTGTACGTATCCATTTTTTGTATTCAGTTAGATAACTTAGTCGTTTTATATAATCATAGATCAAATCGATGATAATCTCTTGCCTTATGATATTTTTATTTTACCTCCCCTTTGAAAAACTAACATTTTCTGTAGGATAGAAGAAATTTTACTTGATCATCTACTGTTAGTTCTGAGTACATTAGTGCTCTTTCTCTGAAATATATAAGACCAGCATCACATATCGATGGACCCTAAGAAGAGTAGCACTGTTCATGTTTCCCTTTGTTAATTCGAGATAGAAATTTTGAATAGTGCTACTCTTCTTAGGGACCGTCGACTTGTGTTGAAAGTACTTATATCAGTTTATGTTTGTTTTGCTTTAAAGTACAATTAAAAACTTACAAAACAATCATGAATAAATTGTGTTTTCATCAATACTGCCTGTACAAGTAATTATCATTTACGTTTTGATCAGGTTTGATTGATACAGTTATGAGAGAAATTTAAGAAACTAAATTTATCATCCTTAAGCTCGTGAAGCTCCTTTTTCAATACTATGATATTATCTGGTTCATATTTTGTATAAAGGATATTTACACTATTAAATTTTGCATTATTATATTAGTACACACAAAGATACAAGACGGTAAATCGTTTCATTATAAATACTTGCAGTGGGTGGAAATATTTGAGTATAAAAATCCCCTGATTCTTTTTGCACCAAATCCACTTAAATACGTGGATGTAAGTAGAGCTATATCTCCTTTTTACGTGGATGCAGGGCTTATAATATCTACGTAAATAATAATGATACTATCTACTCATCACTCTAGGTGTTGTCTGTATTGTATAACATCCATGTATTTACGTAGGTTGGGTACAAAAATTTTTTAAATATTTACATTGTTCAATTGCTGATGCATATTAGTATCTAGAATTATAATAATCATTGAAAAAACTAATTTTTGCAGGCTGCATTGTTAAACACAAAATTTTTCATGCCACAAAAAATTTAAAGTTGTGTTTTGAATGACACATAAATTTTAAGCAACATGGGCATTATAGGTATCATGTATGCGTAATAATCAGCATCTACTGTACCAAAGCTTTACAAGGCAGAAGACTTAACATTGACCAAGTATTAAATCTTAAAGTTTGATACAGTGAGGATATTTCTTAGTGTAATGAATCAAATAGGTGATAAAGATAATATTCAGCATTTAACTTTAACAACTGTACATGTTCATGAAATAGAAGAAATGGATACTCAGGAAGGTAATAATATTTATTACAAAAATTTTTAATGTTGCACTTTTGCACTAATTTGCTTATAGTACTAACACAATTAACATTTTATTTGGAATTTTGTATTCATATGATTAAGAATCTCATTGCAGTATGTTTTTTAACAAGCAGTAAAGTTGCTGATACGTATTGTATGCTTTATGTATATGTAGTTACACGAAAGCTAAAGTTATTAGTAAATAAATAGTACCAGAGTTTAGAGAATAGTAAAATTGTCAATATTGGAGATCATTAAAATTTTTTTGTTAGGACAGAAAATGGTTTTTTAGGCACGAACAATGTATGAGAGTATCTTATAATTTTGTTAGGACCAATAGTGTATTTTCAGTACAAAACTCCTTAGTATGCGGGTGTTCTGAGTTGGTCACATGGGAAATATATAGATAAACGTATATGTACGTTATGAAGTTTTTTTTACTAACTCAAGTAATTATCATCCAAATATGCTCAAATTGTTGTGGTAAATTTGAGTAGGATGTCTAAACTAATGGTTTCACTAGTAGAAGCTAGTATATGATATGGCATAATCATTGTAGAAGGGCTGTTTTTTAAAAATATGGGGTGCAGAAACAGACATGACAACGTTTGAAGCAGTAAAATTATGTAGTTACAAAGTAAAATCAACAGCACTTTACAAAAAAAGTTCACATCAATAGCTTTACTAACATGAAATATACTGGTCAAGCAAAATCCATTACAGCCCGTAAGAGCAAAAGAAAAGTCAGTTCTGCTAGTTTTTTGCTCTCGCTGTCACACAATTAAATTGAAAAAAAACATTCGATTTATACATTTTGTTCACTTATTACACATTTGATTTCACTGTTGTTGAAAGTTTTATTTCTTACAAAGCTTCACTGTATGCATTTATAATTTTAGATGTAGAATCCGAATCCACTGGTCGTTATTAATTGACAGTCCAAGAAAATTTTATTTCATGTAATTGCCCGAGTAGAAAAAGTCTTCGGCTAACCAAATGGTACCTATGCTCCGAGCAGACAGCGGCCAGTATACGGCATGAGCACAGGCCCGCCTTTGGGCCACCTTTGGCATCCAAAGGGTCAGTTGCCGAAGACTACCCGAAGGCGGCCCGAATGCTCCAACCGTTCGGCAGCTGAAGACCTTTTTTTTTTTTTT